GCGTGCATTTTTAGCAGTGTGTATAAGTGTGAGAAAGGAGAGAAGCCGGAGACTGAGGGTGTGTGAGAGGATGGAGTGTGTGAGTGAGGCAGAGATTGAGGCCGAGGGAGTGTGGGAGGAAGGTGAAGGGAGGGGAGGCGAGGAGGGCTGCAAAGCCATTGTAAGTGCCAGTTTGCCCTCTGGGCTGGGTGGTACCCCTTCCTGTGCCCACATTCCAAGCACCCCAGCTCACCTTGCCTTGACTCCCCACAAGGCCCCACTGTGCTGTGTGCTCTTCCCCTCTCTCCCATAGATAAGGCAGCTTCTTCTCCTCCCACCCCCGCCCCCTACTTAAAAAGCCCTCTGGGGCTGGGCCCTGAGGGACTGATGACCTTTTCACAGCAACTTTTGTGTTCCATGTAAGCTTGTTTGTCTAGTTGGCACCCTGCTCTTCGGCTCCTTGTGGCCTTTTCAAACCGCTGGGACCAGGGGGCGGGTGTCTTCAAAAGCCTTTCAAAAGGATCCCGTCCTAGGAGGGAAAAAGTTTTACAAGCTCCCATTGAAAAATGGTTACTTTGAAGTGATGTTGCATTTTCTACCCTTTGAAGCATACAATTAAAGGGGGCCGGGAGTGAAAGGCAAAGAGCTGGACTTCGCTTCAGGCTGTGAGGTCTGGCTGTAATGGCAGTAAGAAAGGGGCCAAGGCAGGTCCTAACGGGGAGCTCAGCCTGAGCAAGGACAGCCTCTAAGCAGAGAGGACAGGAAGCCAGAAAAGAGGAGGAGAGGAGTGGAAAGAGGAGGAGAGAAGAGAGAAAAGAGGATTGGAGAGGAAAGAAGAGTGGGGAGAAGAGGAGAGGAGAGGGGAGGAAAGGAGAAGAAGGAGAGGGGAGAGAGAAGAGGAATGGGGAGGAAAGAAGAGAAGTGGGGAGAAGAGAGGGGAAGAGAAAAGAAGAAAGGAAAGGGGAGAAGACAGGGGAGGGGAAGAGAAAAGAGGAGGAGAGAGGAGGAGAGGAGAGGGGAGAAGAGGGATGGAAGAAGAGCCAGAAAAAGAGGACAGAAGAGAGAACTGGAGAAGGGAGGGGAGGCCCAGAATAGAGAGCCAGGGGAAAGGAGAGGCTGAAGCAGAGCTGGGAACAGACGGGGACACATAGACAGCCCTCTGCCTGCCCAGTCCTTTCCGACAGTGTTTGGAAAGGATTGGAACCTCCCACGTTGTGGGCTTTTGGGGGGGGGGGGGGGGGGGGGGGGGAATCCCAGATGGAGGTGCAGGGGAAGCACTGTGAAGCAGCTTCCCTCTTTTCAGATTAGGAATCATCAGGACAGACCAAAGAGAATGGGGAGCCCCAGTGTAAAGAGAGGAGCATACCAAGCATTCCTGGAAGCTCTGAGGCACAGAACTCAGGCACTCACTCAGTGCAGGGGGTGAAAACCGTCACTTCCAGAAAGAGCCCTGGCCCCAAAAGCATCCTAGTAAAGTTAACTCTTCAGCTACTGGCTCTGCTAACTGTCATTGCTCTAAAACAAGGGAGCCTGCTGGAGGCCCAGACTGGAAGGTTGGGCCCTCTGGCTGATTCCCCTGGGATCGTTCTGGAATGGGAGCCTGGTGCTTCAGGACTTGAATCTTGAAGCTGTGCTGGTCTCCTCCACTGGCTTTACCTAGATCCCACAGTGGCATCCGCCACCCTCACCCAGCCCAGTGATGTTCTGAATAGCACTTCTGTGGTTCCATCCAGTTACGCTTCTAGTTCAGGATAAGGGTCACTGGGGGGAAGGGCAAGGAAGATTTTGTGAGCTGCTGGGAGTCAGTGTTGAGTTTCTTCTTGTTTGAAGATACTTCCCCAGACTCAGCAGGCCCAGTTTAGGGGTCTTTGTCTTTTTTGCCTACCTGGAACCAATCGCTAAGTCTCAAAGAGTTCTTAACGGATTGTTATGTCACGGACCCCTGTGGCAGTCTGGTAATGCCTTCTCAGAATAATGCTTTTAAATTCATGAGGTAAAATACATAGGATTACAAAGCAAGCCAATTCTATTGAAATAGTTATTAAAAAAAATTTCTTTCTTGGACGAGCTGGTCTGTCTCAGGTTAGCTTATCTTTGTTGTTGTTGGTGGTGGTGGTGGTGGTGGTGGTGGTGGTCCTTTGTTCTTGAAGAGGACCTTGACTTGAGGAGGGTGATGTCATGACTTGCAAGTGAATTGACTTTAAGTGAGGCAGGGCTGTGCAGAGTCACCAGCCTCCCTCTCTCCTCCTAAATTCCCAAGGGCTACAAACATTGCTGAAAGAAATTATAAATTTTGTATTGTGATAATGGTCTTTATTAGTTTTCCTTTAACTTTCACTCATGGAGGGCTTATAAGTGGCTTGCTGCCTTGAGGTGGAGTATCCAAGGTGAAAACACTCACCACCTTCATTCCACACTTTCCATAACGACCTTTCCCTTTTTCATTCTCTAAAATGACTCACAATGAAGCACTTTCTTGTTATTCAGTCCTGTTAGACGCTCTGTAATCCCGTTTGGGGTTTTCTTGGCAAAGATACTAGAGGAGTTTGCCATTTCCTTCTCCAGTACATTTTACAGATGAGGAAACTGAGGCAAACAAGGCTAAGTGACCTGCCCAGGGTCACACAACTAGTATATGAGGCCAGATTTGAACTCATGAACATGAGTTTTCCTGATGCCAAGCCTAGTGCTCTATCCACTGCACCATCTAGCTGCCCAACACTTATATCAGAGTAAAGCTGTGCCAGGTACCAGTGTTTGTGACCAAGTCTGATAATATTAACACAGGTCCAGTAGGAGGATGTATGAATAGAAAGTGAACCAATAAGAATGCTAAGCAAATAAATGCATATAGGCCTAGAAGTACTAACATTATAAAAACATAGGAGTTTACATATGCAGGCTAAATGCATATCAGGAGTGAAGATGAGTGAGAGGGGGTAGCCATGTGACTAACATTGCCCAAAGAGGGTGGGAGGGCCCATCAGAGAATCATCGCTCCAAAACTGGAGGGAACCTCAAGTACCAACTAGTCCAACAGCCTGATTTCACAGATGAGGAAGCTGAGGCCTTCGGAGGTGAAGTCACTTCCCCAGTGTCACACTAGTAGTAAGCATCAAAGGATGTATTTGAACCTAGGTCCTCCGAATCCACAGCCAGTGTGTTCTTTCCATTGTCCCAGCATCCAGTTATCCAAGATGCTCTCCCCATTGAGGTTGCTCTCACCTTTGATTCAGTTCAATTCTACCAGTATTTATTAAATAACTATTTTGGGCCAGGCGCTGTGTTCCAGCACTGGGAATACAAAGATGAAAACTGACACAGCCTCAGCCCTTGGGGAGTTTACAGTATTCGAAAACAGAATTCATTCTCTTTTCTCCCCAACCTGCTCCCCCCCCCCGCCCCCCTCCCCCCCCCCCCCCCACCAATCTGAAATCCTTATTACTGTCATTGACACTACCATCATCCTCGTCAACCAGGTCTGCAACTTTGGTGTCATCCTTGACTACTCACATTCGTTCACTCCATATCCAATCAGTTATCAAATCTTCTTGTGACTACATCTCTAAATAGGTCCCTTTCTCTACATTCACCTCCCTAGTTTGAGTCCCCAGCACCTCTCACCTGTAGTACTGAAATAGCTTTCTAATTGGATCCTTTGCCTCAAGTCACTGACCACTCTAATTCATCCTCCTCACAGCTGTCAAAGTGATTTTCCTGAAGCATAGGCCTGACCTTACTCAATAAACTCCAGTGGCTCCCTATACCTCTAGGATTAAATATAAAAGGTTTGGTTGTGGTTGTTATTTTTGTCATTTAAAGTTATCCACAACCAAGCTCCTTCCTACCTTTCCCATTTTTTCCCACTTTAATCCCCTCCACATAATCCATAGTCAAGCCATGTTAACCTACCTGCTATTCCTCTAATCACAATGCTTCATCTCCTGTCTCTGTCTCTGGTCTGACTATCACCATCTCTCATCATCACTGCCTTATGATGGAAGGCTTCCTTCCAAAGTCAGCTCAAATACCACCTTCACAAAAGGTGCTTTGGACACACAGACAAAAATGAAGAAGTACCTTCCCTCAGGGAGCTTACACATCCACAAATGTGTGTGTGTGTGTGTGTGTGTGTGTGTGTGTGTGTGTGTGTGTGTTTTATAGGCAGAGTTGATGAGGCCTTTCCCAGTCTCCCAGTTGCTAGTGTCTTTCTCTCTAAGTTCACCTTCCATTTGTGCGTATCTTGTCTGTATCTATTTTATACACATATAAATTCATTGAGGACAGGCACTGTTTTCTTCATATCTCTGACACCTAATTCAGTGCCTGTAGAATTATAAGCCCTTAGTAAACGATTGGTTGATTAATCTAAGGGAGATAAGATAAATATACAAGTGACAATAATAACCACTTAGAGATGGGGGGAGGGGAAGGAGAGATTTAGACAAAATGCTCTAGGAAGATTGGAGGAGGGAGTGGAATCTGCAGGGAGAGAGGGTTTCCCTGAGGAGCTGGTAGCAGAGCTGAGGAAGGAGTACATGCCAGTCGAGTAGAACAAATAGCCTATACAAATGCACAGAGACAAAACATAGCAGAATGAGTTCTAGAACAGCAAAATAAAGTAGCTGCAGCATAGAGTATGTCAAGGGCAATAGAGTGAAAGACTGGAAAATTAGAGCCAGACTGGGGGCAAAGAGGAGACTTAAATACCAGACTAAGGAGTCCGTATTTTATCCTATAGGTAATGGAGGAAAACACAATGTCTTCTGAGCAAGAGAATCACCTGATCGACCTTGTATGCATTAGGAAGATTATTTTGGTGGCATATGAAAGATAGATCAGAAAAGGAGGGGAGCAAGTAAAGACAGTGGTAATAATAGTCATAGAAAGCATAGTCGAGGAGCAGAGGATGATGAAGAATTGAGCTCAAGAAATCTTCTTGGAGAAGGTGGGATTTAAATGGACTTGTTTGGATATGAGTAGTTTCCTAGGTTTGCTTATTTTTTGTTATGTTTTTACAGGCTGCCCAAAGAACCCTGAAGAGGATTGGGAGCTGTGCCCCAAGGCAGAGACTCCAGCCTTATCAGAAACCATCACCGAACAGCTCCCAAGCTGTGCCTATAACCCAAACTGCCACTGGCTGGCAGACTCAGACCTGAATGCAGGGTCTCTCACCCTGAAAAATGGAACCACCCTGCAGATCAGAACCGTCCCCCTTGGGGTGCTGGAGAAAACAGACCTGTCCCATTTCTACTGCTGCACCCAGTGTGGCAAAGTGTTCTGGGAAGGCTCCCACTTTGGGCGGGTGGTCTCTCAGTTCCAGGAGATCTTAGACGGCTCAGAGCCACAGATACAGAGTTTCTACGAACTGAGCTGAGCTGGGCTGGGCTGGAAGGCCCAACTGTGGCTTCCTTCCCTGGTGGAAGCCAGCCACCAACCACAGATGCAGCCTTTTAACCCTCCCTATGAAGGAGACAGATGAGCCCCAGGAACTGCCTCCTGTCCTGTCCTACCTTGTCCTGTCCTATCCTGTCCTGGTTATCCTCTGCTCCTGGGTACAAGGTGGAAAGTTTGATTTGCTGTTCAATTTGAAATGTTTGGTGTGAGAATATTACTGGGGGGCGGGGGGAGGGGGGAGACACATACTGGGTAAAACTCACTCCCTGAAGTGGGGTCTATTTCTATGAAACACTTATTCTATTAAAAAAAAAAAGGATGCTAACAAGGACCCTTGCAATGTTTTCCCAAAAGGGATTTTTAATCAGTCTATGGTGCTTTGGGTCATCTCTCCAGAAGCGTCTCCTCTGAGTGGAGAGGGACACGTGAATAGTGTGGTCTGGGGTTAAAACTCCATCACCCTTTTCCCCAGCACAGAATCCTAAACCCTGCCTGCCTCTTCCTTAGTCTCCAGTCTTCACCTTGGGTTTACTCATCTGAGGACAGATTTCTGATGCTAGAAAAGCTTTAAGAGTCTTTCTTTGAGCATGGTCAAGGTATATTCAAAGGGAGCAGAGGAAGGGAAAAGGCTGGTTTGGAAGCAGTGGAAAGTACAGGAGGAACCAATGAGAGCAGGAAAAGAGAAAGATGAAGAAACAGTCGGATGGGGAAAGGTTAAAAAGGGACCTGTGATCTCTTAAGAATCTCTCCCACTGTACAATGAGTAAGGCTAGCTGACACTAGTGTAGTGGATAGCACTGGAGACAGGAAGACCTGAGTTCATATCCTCCCTCAGATACAAGTCACGTCACCACACTATTACCTCAGTTTCCTCATCTGTAAAATAAAAGGTGGACTCAGTGGCCTCTAAAATCCTGTCTAGCTCTTAAATCTATACTATGAGTATGGTTGTAATAATCACATTTATATAGTATTTTGTTTTCATGCAACATATTTGTATAAGTATTATTGACAGGTAGGACAAATATTATCATCGTCATATTACAAATGAAACCGAGGCTAAGGAGAATGTCTTGCCCAAGGTCACACAGCTAGTAAGTTGCCAAAGCCTCAACTCAAACCCAGATCTCCTTCCGCTGACTACCTCCAAGATCAACTGTGGTCCAAATGATTGAAATGAACCACAAAGTAAGAGCAGTCCCCCAATCTTGAGGATATGTTGGGGAAGGGGAGATATTTGAAGGGCCCCAGTTCAGGTCAACAAACATTTATTAGACATCTACTGTATGCAAGGGACTGGGGCAGCTAGGTGGCGCAGTGGATAGACCACTGGCCCTGGATTCAGGAGGACCTGAGTTCAAATCCGACCTCAGACATTTAACACTTACTAGCTTTGTGACCCTGGGCAAGTCACTTAACCCCATTGCCTAGCAAAAAAAAGAAAAAAAAAAAGAACTGATATATGCAAGGGACTCTGCTAGCCTGGGGTCACCAAGACAAAAAACCCAAACAGTCAGTGTCCCCAAGAAATTTATATTATAATGGGGAGAAATACTGAATGTGCACTAGTAAGCAAGCACAAAGTCATCCAAGAAGAGGGAGTTACTACTAGTAACTGGGGTAGGGGGTAGAGGAGATTCCGGAACACTTCATTCTGAGGCGGTACCTAAGCTGGGCTTTGAAAGAAGCCTGCTTTACAGGTGAGGAAGCTCTTAGAAGGTCAACTCTGTTTAGAAACCTTCTCCATAGGAGGACTGGTTGAAACAGCCCCATCCTGCCAGGTTTGGGCTCTAGGCCTCTGATTCCCATTCTGCCTGGCCCTGATTTCGGGGAGCTGAAAAACTGAGCTTTTCACTGGCTTTGGTATTTCTAAGTAATGTTTTCTAATAACCCTTTCTTTAACATTCCCCTTTGGAAGACTGGACCTCAATTCCTGCCCTTGCTGGGCTGTATATCCAAGACCTGCTGCCTCCCTGGCCCTGACACCTTGCCATCAGCCAAGTTAGAGACAGGGCTTATCCTCTGGTCCAGGCTGACTTGACTTTCTGTCCTTGGCTTTTGTAAAGTGACTTTGGGATTTGGTGATCTGGTTTGGTTTGTTGCCTCTTTTTAGAAGGAATTCCTTTTTCCCTTTTCTATTGGACTGAAAATACAATCTAGGGAGCCCATCATATCTTAGCATCACCTAGATTAAACCTGCCTAAATGAGCACCAATGATTTTACCATTGCTCTCCCAGATTTTCTGACCACCCATTCCCTGTCCATGGACATCAGCAATTCTCTCCAATACCCAGAGTGAGAGATGTGAAAAGAGCATCAGGAGAGAATGGCTTCATTATGCCCCCATAGCTCACAGGTCCACTCCTCAGCACAGAAACCAGAGTCATCTTTTACAGAACCCAGCAGGACAGCCTCGGCAATCTCAGGACAGTTCCCCATTCTTTTTCTTCCTCTCTCCTTTCCCCCTCCTCTTTCCCAAAGTGAACCCCCTTCCCTTTCCCTCACAGCATGTTGGAGCTGGAAACGACATAGAAGTACTTGGCTTGAGCCCCACCAATTCAACCTAAACTGTTCTCTCATATAGATTCCAAGTATCTCTGGACTTGGAGGGACTTCTGAGGCAGTCTAGTCTAATCTGTACCTGAACAGAAGTCCCTTCTAAAATATACCTGCTGTAACCTTTACCTGAAGATCTCTAGGGTAAGGGAACCCACCTTTTGGGTAACTCTATTGTTAGGAAGTTTTTCCTGACATCAAGTTTAAATCTGTCTCTCTGTAACTTTAATTATTTTTGCTTCTGTCCTCTGGGGCTGAAAAGGACAAATCTAATTCTTCTCCCCCGAAAGGGCCCGTCAAATACTTGAAAACAGCTATCATATCCCCTCCTCAGTGTTTTCTTCTCTAGGCTGAATATTACCAGTTCCTCATATGGCAAGATCTCAAGGCCTTTCCTCACCCTGGTAATCTTCCTTTGGGCACTTCCTAGTTTATCAAAGGCGTTCCTAAAATGTAGCATCCAGAATTAAAGGAGATGTGGTCTAGCCAGGACCAAGTACAGCAGTACTGTACTTCTCCATGATACTGTGCTCTCTCCAAGGTGACCATTGTCCTTGTCTTAATTCTTGTCTTTCTGACCTCTTTATAGCATTTGACACTACTTGCTTACTCCTCCCAATCCTCTCTTGATACTCTTGGAGTATAGATTCCATGACATTCCTCCCTCCTGGTTTTCTCTGACCCATCCTAGCAATCACCAGGATCAAATTGAAATATTTGTAAAGCACTTAGCACTTGGTCTGGTATGTAGTAGGTGCTCAATAAATGTTTATTGCCTCTGCCCCCTCCCCCAAGCCTTTGATGACTCTTCCTTATCTGGGAATTATCCCACATAGTTCAGTCCTTGGCCTGCCATTCAATTTTCACAGCTTCAGCTCGCACCTCTTTTTAGGTAATGCATTATCCCTGACCTCCCACTGAGGCCACATTCCATATTTCCGCCTGCCACCAGAACACCTCTACCTGAATTTTCCACTGTCACCCCAGGCTCAGCTTGGCCCTGCTACTTAACTGTGTGATTGATTCTGAGCCTCATTCTCCTCTTTTCTAAAGCAAGGCACCTATGTTCAAAAGCAAACTCATTCCCCTCCAAATAGGATGGCCCACTAACTAGCCAGCTCTTCAGAAAACATCCATAGAGAAATGGCCTGGAAATGTTTGACCTTGGTAACCTTGCTTGCCCCCATCCCTCCACCCCAGGCCAGCCATCCCACCAGATTCTCTGATCCAAAGGAACACTGGAGCTCTGTGGCAAAACTGGCAGTGGTCATATTTATCTAAAGGCCAGATCTCTGAGACATCAAAGTCCAGGAACTTCTGACACATGATTCAAAACCCCTGGGAACAGACAACATCCTTGCTTTCACTATCTCTCTTTGGCCATCCTCTCCCAGACCTCAGAGCTTCCTTGTCCCTCCCCCACTTCCCACCTCCCACCTCCACCCTCAGAAACCCAGCATGCTTGGCACATTCTAGCACATCTACAAGAGAACCAATTCACAACCTCTCCCCTCCAAGAGAGGGCCCTTAGATCTATGAAAAAATAAAGGCTGTTCTGCCCCTACTGAGGCCTGAAATAAAAACCTGGAACCATTGCAGATATGAGCCCCCCCCTTAATATACATCAAGCATACCTGTAATGGAGGTCAAGCTACCCTTAGACTCATCTTACAGTCCCCCAGTAACAAGGGCAGGAAAAAGGCTAATTGATTACCACTATAATGACCACTTGGATTAGCCAATATAGGTAGAATGTCACCATGTTTCCCTGGCTATGGGTCATCATCCAATTGGGTCCATTTGTTCCCTCTCGCTCTGGGAAGAAAGCTGAGACCAGACTGCTGTCTCTGAACTTTATTGCTCTTGGTGATGGCTTGTTTCTGGGTCACAGGGAAACACTCAGCCATTTGCCAAGGAGGGGTGAGTCAGGGGAGACTGTCATTCTAGGATGGGGGGGGGGATCATAAGGGAAACTTACTTTGTAGACACCCTCTGATGTACTTGGTGAATGGAGGACACGTACATTCCAGGAGGGAAAAGGTCTGTGGAGCCAAAACAAGATCTTTATTTGTCCATGAGTTAGTTAATCTGAGGCTGAAGTTGATGGACAGTGGGGAAGTTGTGGCCAGGACTACAGCCCCAGCTGTAGGCAGGGTCAGAAGTCAGTCTGTGGTAGAATTTAGGGCTTAGTTTGTAGCATGGTCAGGGAGTGAGTCTGTTGCCAGGGTTAGGGATCAATGTCTGTGGCCTGTAGCGGAGAGTAAGATTTGGTCTGTGGCCACTTTAGGGCTCAGTTGCAGACATTAAACTCCAAGAGTGAAGAGATTATGTCTCATTTAAACTTTGTACCCCCACCCCCAACATAGTCCTCCAAACACTCTAGATGTATGTTAAGTGCCTACTTTTGCCAGGAACTATTTTTGGCAGTGAAAGATGAAGATGAAACAGTCCCTTATCTCAAGGGAGTCTATGTTCTATCAAGGATGGTAACATAGTATGTTAATATATGCAAAAAATATGGAAGGTAACAAAGGGGGACCCACTAGCTACTGAAGTGATCAGGCAAACACTCATATGTGAAGGTGATGGACCTTTGACCTGAACTTCAAACTTTGAAAGAACTGAACTTTGAAAGAAACTAGGAATTCTAAGAAGTTCAATTTCAATTAAGTTAATATTTATTAAGCACCTAACAAGTTCCAGGCACTGTGCTAAGTGCTGGGGGTACAAAAAGAGGAAAAAGACAGTCCCTGCCCTCAAGGAGTTTACAGTCTATTGAGGGAGACAACCGAAAACAAATATATACAAAACAAGTTATATACAGGATAAATAACAAATAAATAAAAGTGGGAAGGCACTGGAATGAAGAGGAGTTAGGGATGGCTTCCTGTAGAAGGTAGGATTTTAGTTGGAACTCGAAGGCAAACTTAGAGGTCAGTAGTCAGAGTGGAGGAATGGAGAACAGCCAGAGAAAATGCCGAGGGCTGAGAGATGGTGTCTTGTTCATGGAACAGCCAGGAGATGAAGAGAGAGTTAATGGGAGTTTGATTACCTGTACAGGGAATGTGCAGAGCATCTGGTATAAGAAACAGCAAGATGGTCAATATGTCAGGAAGGAATAGAGTGTGTGAAGTGGCGTAATGTATGGGGAGGCTGGGAAAGTGCATGGGAGGAAGGTTGTGAAAGGCCCTAAAGCCAATACAAAATTTGTATTTGGTCCTGGAGGTAATAGGAAGCTGCTGGAGTTTGTTGAGCAAGGAAGTGACATTGTCAGATTTATGCTTTAGGAAAATCACTGTGGAAATGGATCAAAGGAAGAGACTTAGGGCAGGGAAACCTGCCTTAGCCAAGTAAGAGGTGATCCGGGCCTGGACTGGTAGGGTAGGCTATAGGGGTAGTGAGAAGGGGACAAATGCAAGGGACGGGGGAGGAGGAATTGAAAAGACTTGGCAACGATTGGAGAGGAGGGATAACGAAGCATCCCTGCTGTCCTTGAAATAAACAGGGAACTGCAGAAGAGAGGTGGCTTTGGGGGAAAAGGTAATGAGATCTGGTTTGGGACATACTGGATTTGAGTTGCTTCCAGGAAATCCAGTTCAAAATGGCAAATGGGGAAGTGGTAGTAGTGTAATATAGGGCTCAGGAGAAAAATGAGTGCTGGATGTATAGATTTGGGAGTCAGCAGCATAGAAATGATAATCAAATTCAGAGGCAGGGGC